TCAGGAGCGAGTGCCCTGGGAGAAGCTTGGATTCATGACTCCAACGATGAGCTCACCCTATCTAAAATAGCAACTCCCTCTCACCACCTATTCATCCTCTACCATTTTACCCTTCTTTATTTCCTTTAAACAGTTACCACACTTGACTTTGCTATTTATATTTATTTATTTTCTGTCTCTCTCCATTAGAATCTAAACACAAAAGCAATGACTTTATTTTGCTCACTACAGCACACCAGCTCCTACAGTACTTAGTAAGCGTGCAAGAAATATGTTGGATAAATGAATAAATGAGTGAACACATAACAAATAATTATTAGTAACTCATATCTGTAGTAGCATTCCCCTAATGAGATACTCTGAAAACCAAATAATGCTAAGTTACTGTCATTATTTGCAGTAGGTGAATTTGTGACCTTTTATTCAGCTTTTAAAGCAGCCTCCCTGAGAATTAGAGTGGTTTCACTTTCTAAATCTATAATTCTATTTTGATCCTACTGTGTTCTCTGGAAAGTGATCCCCACTGAGTAGTTAGGTCTTTGTGACTGTCTATCACAGGAACAGCCTTCCTGGGCCATCAGGTCCTTGAGGATGGTCTCCTGCAGGCCAATCAGGACTACCTGAAGGGAGAAGGAAGCAGGGAACCACACATACTCAGGAAACCCAAGCTGGGTTCACAGTCCCCTGGAGTAGAAGATGCCACAGAAAGGAAGCCTCACCAAGGCTTCTCACTTCCTATGGATGGGCCCCTAGTGGCCACACGTAGGGCCTGGATTCCGAGGATGGCTTGCCAAGCAAGGAGGCCATAGATAACAAACCTCCCTGAACTTGGTGAGGAAACTGCTTTACTCCTCATCTAATCCATTTGCCTCCCAAATACTGGCTAAGAGTGATATAGGCTTGGGTAAGGCTCTCAGGACTCACCCTGCTGTGTGAAAGGAAGCAGAGATGCTGACAGCCCTAGGAGGAGGCATGCCTTCTGGACTGAAGAGAGGATAGAGTCTGGGCTTGGTGTGGGTGCACTTTCCAGCACACGGGCCCACCCACTAAAGCAGCCTGCAGCAACAGCCCTGATGCTCTCCCCACAAAGATCTGCCTGAGGGCAAGTGAGTCCTTGCTTTGTGCTGTGCAGCCACAATCCCAGATTACCACATGACAATTTTAAAATCACCTGCAAGCCTAAATCCAGTGAATGCCTACAGACAACACATTTAACAGCTCAGAGAATGATTCAGAGGAAGCAATTTTCCACAGTGAAGATAATCATCTGGTAGTGTGAAAAGGCAAACACTCTTTTATTAGCACTGGAAACTCAAGGGAAACGTTGCTAAATCCACAAATGCAGCACTTAAGTAAATGGTTCAAGAACAATATCCACAGCTGGAAGGAAGGTCTTGTACAGATTTCACTTCCACTCAGTGTCCTCCCACAGAAAGAGCTCTCTTGGAGGGCAGGGGAAACAGCTCTGACCTCTTCCTGTTTACTTAACAAGCAGTTCCTCCAAGTCTTGGTCCTGTGCCCACACAGGGAATCCCAGAATTCGGAGCTCCCTGGTCCTTATGTACATACTTTTCCCAGGTGACCTCTACCTCATGTCTCATGTCTTTATTCTGTGATGTTAAAATTCATATTCCAGCACTGACCTCTCCTGGGGCTTCACAGAATCAATTGCCTACCTGAACTCTAGAGTGTGGATTCCTAAACAGGTACCTTATACTTGAAATGGCCCAAACTGAGCTCTCCTTTTCCAGTATCTTATTATTGCATAAGAAATCACCCCAAAACCTAGTGACGGAAAAAACAATAACCATTGATTTTGCTCATGAGTCTGCAATTTTGGTATGGCTTGATGGGAACTGCTCTGTGAAGTACTAGCTAGGGCGGCTGGACATGGCGCTGGAGAATTCACTCCCACATGGCTCACTCACATAGTTTTACTTGCTGTCACCTGGGAGCTCAGCTGGACTATGGGTGGGGGGCCGTGGTTCCTCTCTGCATGGCTGCTCCACAGGCTGTGGTGACTGAGTTCTCAGTGGGAGCAAAAGAAGTGGAAATTGCCAGTGTCTGAAGTCCTGGGCCCGGGAACTGGTAAAATGTTATTTCTGCCACACTAAACTGGGGAAGCAGTCACAGAGCTCCAAGTTAAGGGGAGGGTCAAAAGACCACCAACTTTCCATGGAAGAAGCATCAAAGAAGTTGTGGACATGTTTTAAAACGGTCACATGTCCCAGACTCTCTCTTCCTGTGGTCTCCTCCAGCTACCAGTTGCTCAGGCAAGTAGGAGGCCTCTTCGGTTGCTGCCTTTCCCTTCCTCTCCATCCAATCCTCATGCGAATTCTTGACTCTGCCCCAAAACATGCCCAGAAACTATTCTCACATCTCCACTTCTACAACCTTAACCCAGACAAACTCATCTCCTACCTGGATGACTGCCTGGTTGGTTACAATAGTTTGTTAATGGCTCTCTGCCTCCATGCCTTTTTCTGAAATCTATTCATATAGTAACCAGAACGATCTTTTACAAACATAAATCAGGTCATCCCACTCCTCTGCTTAAACCCCTCTAAAAGCTTCACAACATATTCAGAATTAAACCCGAACCCCTCATTCTGGATTCCAAAGCTTGATGTGCTCTGGCTCCTGTCCAGTCCCCTGGCCTCACTTCATCCCATTTGCTTCCTCACTGGACTGTGACCCCCACACACACTGGCTTCTGCCTGCCAGCCTTTGCACTTGGTTTCCCTCTCTCTGGAGTACTCTTTGCCCTGACTGTTCCTGTCCCAAGACTGGTTCCTTCTGGCTATTTTCAGTTTGAAGTGTCATTTCCCCAGAAAGGATATCCATAATCCATAATTCTAAAGTAGTGACACAGTCATGTGTCACATTAACCTACAACATAACATTTAATGCTAGCTGATACTTTTTTGTGGTGATTTGTTTAGTCATTGACTATCTCCTCCCTCTAAAATGTAAGTCCCATGAGGGCAAGGACCCTGTCTGCCTTGTGACTGGGCGTCCCTAGGGCCTAGAACAGTACCTGGCACAGAGCAGAGGTTCAATAAATATTGATTGATTTAGTAGGTAGCAACAGTAGCCCCAGGCAGCCAGCCCACCACAACATCTCTCAGGGTGGTTGACGGGGATAGAGAGGAAGCTTAGGGAGGACCTCAGTTGCTCATGCTTATACCAGGAGCATAGCTCTCGTATGGGGTCTCAGCCCACAGTGCACTTCCATCCCTAGTCTTCCTGTGACCTCAGCAATACAGCATCACACAGTCATGAACATAGAGTTACTAACGTGCTTAGGACAGGATGGCACAGTTCAGCTCACCCCTCCTCCACATGGATCGGGTCACTGACTCAGGTTATATTACATTTGAATTTTCATCTTATGATGAGACTCAGAAATGTAGGCGAAGTCCTTGTATGACAAACTCCAAGTGCTTATTTTGATGATGATTGTAAAAAATGAAAATATTCACATTTTTGAAAAGCAATTTGGAAATGGGTATTTAGGACCCATGCAAATAAAGAAGAAAATTTGGATTAGGGTATTTTTTTTTAATCAATGTTGTACGTAGGTTAAAAAAACAACAACTGAGGTGAAAAGAGAGCTTCCCAATAGGCTCTGTTTTCTTTAAAAATATTTGCTAACCATTTTTTCGTACTTTGGTGTACAGAGTTAGTTTGTTACTGAAGTAACAAAACACTATAGGTGTGTGTAGTTCAGCCCATTCATTAGGGAAATGGCAGCTTGTTTGATAGGATTCTTTTTTTCTTCACTGTAATGAGATTTTTGCCTATGGATTTAAATTTTTACAAATTAAGTAATGTTGAAAATTCAAGATTCTGCAGAAGAAAATGATTGTGAGTCCCCACTGTGCCAACCAAATGTGATTCTGCAGTACCTGGAGACGGGGATTTGTGCAGCTGCTCCTGGTGGTGGTGTGGTGACTAAGAGAACGAGCCCACCCTTAGTGGTGCCGCTCACGTCCTCAGAGCTGCGGCAGTGCCTGACCTTGAAGAGTGGGCAAGGAAGGCAAACATAACCGTCTGGCTGCACAGTGGCCCACGTGGCCCTCAGACACCTGTGGAGGCAAGCCCACTGAGAAGTAGCACCCTTGGCAGTAGTGACTCAGGATCTGTGAAATCTCCTTTTCATAACAGTGGGTGATTCTCATCCGCCAAGGAGATCACATCCGGCCTGAACTCTCCAGGCCCTGATGCAGGGCCCAGTGGAGCATCTGAAGGCACAGCTGAAGGTGCTAAAACCAGCACTGTGCATTCGCTGCAGAGTGGAAGCTGGCAACTAGGAAGGCCATCGTCCATAGATCCACATTATTACATCTGTGGAAGTGCTTAGTTTTTATCTTTTTATTTCTAATTCTTTCTGCTTTAAGTATTCTTAAATGATCACTGCTCAGAACCCAGGGTCCTGGGATCAAGCTCTGGTCACACAGGCTGGAGAAGGCTATGGGGAAACAGAATCCTCCTTGGTCTCAGGTGGGTGCATGATGCCTGAAGGGCTCTCCCACCCTCCCTTCCTTCTTTCCTGCTCTGCCTGGTCACAGCATAGGTGCAGAGGGCTCCCTTAGGGAGGACTGTAAGGAGGAAGCTGAAGTTTCAGGTAAGGCAGCCCCTTCTGTGGACTCCTTTCCACCATGGCCCCCTTGAGGAGGAGTGAGAACCAGGAAGGACAGGTGAGTCTCACCTGAGCTGACTAACGTCCAGCTCAGCCAGCCCTTGATGTCCCCAAGACATCCACCCACCACAGTGAAAGATGGTGGGACTCACTGCCATTCATAGCCCATGTCCACAATGCTGGGAAAGAAAAACCAAGTTCAATTTACCAAAATATCTGTATTATCTATAAAACTTGAACTCTAATGAGTCACTGCTACTGGAGGCAGCGATATCCGACTATGTTGGCTGCATAGGCAGATGGCTGCATCCCAGCAGCCCACAGGCAGATCATGGCACTGAGTGGCACGTGGCCTGGCTCATTTGTAAGGCCTCAAGAACCTGGACACTTTGGAACGTAGCAATCGGATGAAAGATCTTGGGAACATCTCTCGGGATTCCTGGGCTGTGTACTTGAAATAGTTCTGGGGGTGGGCCAGGACATCAAACAGAGCTTTGATCAGCTTCTTATCCTAAAAAGAACACAAGTTTTGTTACTGGGCCAAAATACTTAAACATTCCAACATTTTGCCAATGGAACTATAATGTCCCAGTGTTGGACAGTAGGTTGCTGAGCTGAGAAACACTTAGTGAAAATTGTTTCCTCTGATTTTTATCTCTTTTCCAGTATTTATTTTCCCAAAGTATCTACAAAAAACATGGGTTACTTTTATAAAGGAAAGGGTAATAAATAAAAAATGGTTTTCTTTTTCTAAACCAGATGAGATGCAACACTGGAATCTGGGGAATATTTACAGGGTTAGTGAGATGGCAAGTGTCTGATAAGTACTTATAAGCATCTAAAATTTGGTGGACTTTAGGCTTGAAGGATAAACAAGGAGTCAATGATATTCAGTTATTTGGAGAGTGAACATGGAACCATGATTTGCCACTGGCCTGGATTTAGAGTAAGCAAGTTTCCCACTGTTCCTCCACGCATTTCCAAATTAAAAAAAAAAAAAATACAGTTTCACTTGACAACATTGAAGAAAGCCATCTGAATATTTTTTTTAATTAAGTCTGGTGAAGATATAAAACTGACCTCAGCCCAGAGCAGGCTTGGTGTCTGAAAGGTGGCAGCATGGAGCAAAAGGAAAACCTTCCTCCAGTGGTGCCTGGGAGCTCCATGGGTGACTGCAGCATCCACCTTCACTACGTACTCACCTTAAGTATTTCCTGATGGTTCTCAGATGCATAGAGCCTGCCATCTCGAACTATATCTTCAATGAGCTCCTGGTAGTCCTCTGTTGGAATAAAGGACATGATTGACATTCATGGGATTTAGTTATTTCCAAACTCACTCTTTCTTTCATTTTTAAATAAGGTTCTGAGAAATGCCTCTTCTGCAGCTGCTATCAGAATAGTGACCGCTGTGATACTGAGAAGGTGATCAGAAGAGAACTTCCACAGACTCCCACATCCTCTCACCTACCAGCCTCTGCACCCACCTCTTCTGTTCCATCTTCCCTTGGATGAACCCTCTGTGCATCCAGTCAACACCCTTCCTCCACTTTTTCCACTGGCTCCATCTTCTCTCACCAAGTCAAGGGCATTGTTCCAGTACTTCTGCCCTTTCTTTCCTACATGATGACATTTTCTCTCTCTATTGGGCCTTCCCCATCAGCATGTAAACATGTTATTATGTCTCCAATCCCAAAAAAGTCCCCCCCTTGACCTCATTTCTCCCTCAGCTTCCATCCTACATTTCTGCCCTCTTTGTTGCAAAACTACTCAAAAGAATTGTCAACTCAGTCTGAGTTGACAACTGAGTTGTCAACTCAGTCAACTCAGTCGACTCAGTCTCTAGTCACCCCTCCTCCTCGATCCACTTCTTCACTCAGCTTCTGGGATACCATGCTTTCAGGTTTTCCTCCTACCTCACTGGTCACTTTGCCTGAAGTTCCTTTGCTATTCTTCCTCCTCTCCCTGACCTCTTACTATGGGAGGGTCGCAGGGCTCAGAGCTTGGTTCTCATCTCTTCCGTCTATACTTGCTCTCTGGTGAGTTCACCAGCTTCAGGGCTTTTCTCTTCTTCTCTACTTTTCTCCCTTCTGTCCTCCCTTTTTTCTCTCTGCCCTTGTATTATGTAAAACAATCAAGCTTCTTAGTACTAAGCAAGACTCTTCTTTCCTTTTTTCCTCTTTTTTTTTTTTTTTGGAGGGGATGGGGAGAATTTTATTGGTTAAAGAGGGAAGAAAAGCTATGTTCATTTTCTTATTAGTTAATTTTTGGTGCTGATGTACATAGTAAATGCAATGCACACAACGTAAGCTGCCTCCAAATCTAAATCCCCACCTTTCAAAGTCTAGCCTACTTCCTAGTCATAATTTAAACCAAGCACATGCAAAACACAATCTTTTCCAAATTCCAGGCTGAAAAGAATGCCTCTTTGTATGCATATCATGTACAAATAAAACCAAACAAATCATAAGAACATCACTGGAACTATGTGGAAAGGGTGCTTGAAAAAGTTTCTCCTAGTCAAGTGGTGATTAATGAAAATTTATTAACTATTAACTATCGTATGGTCCTCATGATTACTAATTTAATATAGGTTCAACCTCACTGGTGCTCTATTCATGTGGTATCTTCCTTCTTATTCTTCTACTTTAGTGAATATCAAATATGAGTAAGAGTACATGTTTATCTTGAATTCCTTTGTTGCAGAGTCTCTTGCTCAGAGAACTAGCTCCTCTTGATGATGGGTGTTCACCACTAGGAGGACCAGTTGCTGTGCCATGTCCTAGTGTAAGAGAGAACTGAAGCACTGTTTGCCACCACACCAAATGCTCCCAGACTGCTGTCTTTTTTAAATGTTTACTTATTTATTTTGAGAGAGAGAGCGTACAAGCTGGGGAGGGGCAGAGAGAGAGGGAGACAGAGGATCCAAAGCAGGCTCTGCGCTGTCAGCACAGAGCCTGATGCAGGGCCCGAACTCATGAACCATGAGATCATTACCTGAGCCACCCAGGCACCCCAGACTGCTGTCTTTTAAAAGCATTCCCTCCACTATCAAGAACTACCGTGTTTTATCCCTTGCTACAACTGTCATGAGAAAAGCAGTCAAGAGTCATAGGTAAGAACTCAGGCCCTGGAGTCCCAAAGATCTCTGCCACTTTGTCCTCCTGACCTCAGGCCAGTTAGCCTAAGTTAATCTCTAAGCCTGACTGGTCTTGTCCGTAGAATCAGGAAAGAATCATGTCTATGGCAATTATGAGGGCTGTGCGGTGTCAAAGGCACTCAGCACATGCCTGGTACTCAGTACACATACTCAGCGCAAGTTAGCTGGGACTACAGTTCTCCCCATCCTCCAGTGGTCAGTAAGCCACTCTGTAGCAGCCTCACTTGCCCCTTCTAAATGTGATTTCTATTCTTCCGGGCTTGGAAACCAGGTATCAAGCTTGTCTGAAATATATGTTCCAAAAAAAAAAAAAAGATGAAATAAGCTCTGAGTAAAGACCTAAAAGGCTTCTATATTACTAACAGCAATTTTCAACTAGTATCTGCTGTGACATGTGTAAGACACACTCTCATGGGCCTCAGCAGCTTTATGTGTAATTTCCCTGGTTCAAGCTACAACTCTTTGAGAAAATGAAAAAAAAAAAAAAAAAAAAAAAAAAAAAAAAGGTGTTTTCATGTATTACAAAGGTAGAGTTGAGAACAGCCAAGCAAAAAGATGTGAGCTTTAGTGATATTTATTCTGGAGTCCCCGTGTCTTTTTTGGTTCTTTCACTGATTCCAGATTGGGGGCAGGGGGGCTGTTGGTTGTTTGCTTTCAGGTAGATGAGGTGTTCTGTCTCTCTCAGCAGAGCCACATGGGAGGCATTTGTGTCCACCTAGGGCTCTGATCCTAAGAGCCCTTATCAGGAGGGATTTGGCATGGTTTCAGGCACAGAGTTGATAATCCTGGATTTGGAACATGTTATAAATGTGAAATGCTTTTATAAAATCCATAGAATACTATCTGTCCAAAACATCTACTGTCAACACTTGTGTAAAAACCTTCAATGGCTCATGGCTCCCTGTAAGATTAGGTCCACCCTTCTGAGTTTAGCACTCCAGGCCCTTCACCACCCAACTTCACACGCTTCTAATCTTATCTCTCACTGCTAAGCCCCATGCACCCTACCAACTGACCAAATCAGGCCATTAATCAGTCCCCATACATGCCAGGTACTCTATCCTTTGGCCTAGATCATTCTCTCTAACTAATGTTCTTCCCATTATTAAAAAAAAAAACACAAAACAAAACACACACACACACACACACACACACACACACACACACACACACAACTCATATGTTCTTTCAAGGCCCAAATCTCTTGAGATTTTGCTGTATTCTTTCCAGTGCATTTTGTATTTTAAGTAAATGTTTATCAACCAAGTCCCAGACCCAGGTAGGCCCCCAGAGCTCACACGGGGCACCCCTTCACCTAACAAGAAGCAAATGAAACCAGAGAACTCATCTGATTTGCCCAAAATTACACAGCAAATTAGTAGCAGAGACAGGACCAGAACTTGGGTCTTTCTCCCTTGCTCCTCAGGATTCCATGTAATGAAAGTCACAGTCATAATTAGCTAGTATTTACTGAGCATTTACTATGTGCCTGGCACTGCACCAAGTCCTTTGTGGATTATCGCATTTAACTGCCATGTTAGATCTAATGATTATCGTCATTTACACATTAAGAACATGAGACTTAGAGATGGTAAGTAACATACACAAAGTCACTGAAGAGATTAGGTCGAGGCTGGCCTATGTGCTTCCCCACCAAGCCATGCTCACTTTTACTTATTTTCTAAAACATCTTTTCATCCCTGTAGTCAGTGTCCCCAAATGCTTGTTTAAAATTTGACACATGTGAGTCAGCAGTGTCCTTTCTCCTTACTCCACCTGCCTTTCTGAGCACGTGTGCTTGTCAGCAATCTACCAGCTGGCCCAGAAGTTGGTTCTCCCGAAAGCAGAGAAGCTCCTTGCTTCTGTGAAGCAGCCCAAGCTTCACAGCGCTTACCGTCGTATGTCACATACGGGACCTGGAACCCTCTGGCACTGTTCCCTTCATTGGACTTAAACTGAATCCACAGCTTCTTTGACCTGGAGGTGAAGGCGATGGGGCGTTCATAGGTCTGACAGGTTTCGTATGTTGTCACAGAATTCGATGAAGCTGCCAAGGGAAGTTAGAGAGGGCAAGGTTCAGGACTCATCCTGAGCAGCAGACAATGAACACTCATTGTTTCAAAGGAAAACACCGTAAAACAAGTTATGCTCCAGAGCTCTTTGGGCTCAGCTCATAGGAGCCAAAGTCCTGGGAATTGAGTGGACTCCACTGGTGATTGCAAGCCCCCAGGGAAGGCTAACTGAAATGCCCATGGCTAGGCAAACAGCAGCAGCCCAGGCTGCGGTGCTCACTGCAGGGGCTAAGGAGAGGCCGTCTAATTCCAGAGCTACCTGCTGTCATCCAGCAATAACCACCCCCAATCCCCGCATGCTCCCAAAGACTAGGTGGTGCACTACGCACTTTATGGACTTTATCTCACTTAATCCTCTGAAAGCCATAGGAAGTCAGTGCCACTGTTAACTCATTTACAGAGTTTAAGCATTTGCCCAGGGTCACAGAGCCAGTATGTGGATAGCTCAGAATTCAAACCCACACCTGACTTCAGACACTGTAACCACTAATAAGAGTGGCAAACACAATGGCTCCATGTGTCATTATTATTCTAAGTGCTTTATGTACATGAAGTCATTTATTCCTCATGATAACCCTATGAGGTAGCAACCATTATCATCCCCATTTTAGCAGATGAGAAAAAGGAGTTGCAGAAAGAATCAGAATGTATGTCCAAGATCACGGAACTAACAAAAGGTGAAGCTGGGTTCAGGTCTAGGCAGTCTGGCTGCTGAGCTCACTCACTACACTGCCTTGAAGTTGTGTTGCTGGCAGTGTCCCTTAATGGGCACTGGGTCATGCGTCAGGATAGCAGGAGGGTCCCTCCTGGCTGGACTATGACTTTAGCCTCGGTCAGTCCCAAAGCCATGAGTGGCTTCCCACAGTGAGACAATGGTCTGGGGCCTGGCTTCCATGAGCTTCATTGGCTCTGTGTGATGTTGTGGAAGAGGGTCCCCGGCGAGCCCGGGGGGGGAGACTGACCTGCAGAATCACTACCTCTGGGATTCAGCAAGAGGCCTCAAGTTGGGTTTGTCTAAATTTTGTTTCTTGGCAAACACTATAAACTCATGTCCCATCTCTGTTCTAATACAGAGGTGACACTCTAGCCTTGCTGTTCACATTTAAAGCTGGGGAGCATGTCAGCAGGCTTCCACGCTAGCCTTAGAGGGGAGGGGAGAGAGGGGACGCACAGGTTTTCCGCATCACCAGGTAGTCTCCACAGTCATCTTCTATGGGCAGGAAGATCTCAGGGACCACAATCAAGATTCGGCGCTTGGGCGGTGGGTTGATGGTCCATGTACACTCCGTGTTGGCTGGGTAATTGCCTGGGTAGTTTGGGGATTCAATGTATCCGGTGAAATCTCCCAGCTCCCCTCCACATCTTCTGTCTGGAAGAGGAAATGCCATGAGTTATGAAGGCACAGCATTTTCATCATTCTGTCATGGCCACCAGCAGCTCAACTGAGGAGAACCACTGCATCCTCTTGCCATTGAGGAATGGCACCATCTCAGGAATTAATGTGTCCTGTAATGCCTACGGTCGCCTGTGGGAGCCTAACTACACTAACTCCCCACACAGAGCTCACCCCACTGAGTTCCCCTCTGAGTTACCATTTTCTCTTTAACTTGAAGGTGCTCAAGATCAGAGGAAGGCACTCATGAAACAAAGGATGAATTTAGTTTTCAATATTTTGCTTACAAAGTCTAGGTGCCAGGGGAACCCATGACATAGAATTTCTAGGTCTTTAAAAATAGGGAGAACAGAGCTGACTGCTAACTAGAGGATATGTGGCCCTTTCCTAGAGACCTTGATGAATTTATGATAGCCATATTCTTTCTCTTTTCCTTCTGGTCAAGACCACATTTTACTTTTGGTGCAGAAGAAAATTCCAATTAGGTCTCAGTCAATATGGGGCTTGCTGGATACTCACCTCCGGGAGCAAAGATCAGGAGCACTCGCGTGCGCACACACACACACACACACACACACACACACACACACACACCTCAGCCATTGAATCTCCATTCATCCAATAAATGTTAGCAAAAGCTCTGGGAGTTCAGAAATGAGAAAGACACAGTCCTTGCCCTCAAGGGGCTTATTGTATAAAACTGTCAGGTGCACCTGTGCAGGAGAGGATGTCGAAGGGACTATTTTTTTCCTCTCTAATTGTAACTGGCAATTATTTTTTTTAATGTTTATTTATTTTTGAGAGAGAAAGTGTGAGTGGGGGAGGGGCAGAGAGAGAAGGAGACAGAATATCCTAAAGCAGGTTCCATGCTGTAGGCAGAGAGCCCGATGTGGGACTTGGATCCATGAACCATGAGATCATGACCTGAGCCAAAGTCGGACACTCAACCAACTGAGCCACCCAGGTGCCCTGTAACTGTGAATTATTATTCCCACTAGAAAAAATTTCTTCTTGGAAGGGGGTGGAGTGGGGAGAGCCATGGAGTTGAGAAGGACTCAGCTTCAAGTCTGAAGGACAGCCTGAAGATCCGTGCCATGTGGCTCCTAAGGGCCAATGAAGGGTTGGGGATAGGAGACAAGGAAACAGATTTCATCTGGGTACAGGGAAGAATTTTCTAACACTGTGAACTTCAATCCCAAACTCCTCCAGTATGGGAAGGCCTCCTTGCTCCCCTACACCACTGTGTTAATGACAATGAGTCAGCTGAGATTCACTTCTGACCTTTACTGGAGAATTTTACATAATGGTTAAAAACCAACCAACCAGCTAAATATACAACAAGTCCTTGAATGATCTGCTCCCCATTCCTACAGGACACAAATAAAATTCCTTTGTGTGGCATTCAAGGCTTCCCTTCCTGTTCTGCCTCAGATTCCACTCAGACATTCCATGATCCAGGTCCAGGGGGTCTCTCAAAAAGCCTTTCATTTTTCTGAGTGTGTGTTTCCTTCCAGCTGTGGTCTCAGGTATAAAGCTCTTTCTCCTGCTCTCCCCCCACCCTCTCCATCAAAACCTTCTCATGCCTTCCAGAAGCCTTCCCTCATCTCTCTAGGCAGAGTTAATTGCTCTTTCCTCTTCGATCCTACAGCTTGTGCTGCCTGCAGGGCAAGGGACTTATTCTGCTTGGAGGGCCTCGCATTTGACAGGTCCTCAAACAATGTTTGCTGAACTGAAACTCTGCTTGTGGGAGGAAATTTCAGTGAGCATAGCCTGTCAATGTGCCCAGAGAAGTAGCCAGGATCAACACAAGTAAGTACCTGGGAGCCAAGCCTGGCTCTCCTTCGGTGCTGACCTGCAGTGCGTGAGCTGGGTTAACCGTGTCCTCATGGTTCTCAAGGCACCTGGGACCCCTGCACCAACCCCCCCAGTGCCAGGTGGACCCAGGCACCTCCCTCTTGGTCAAGACTGTGAAAGCCTTAGAGAGACCTACCTTTACATTGAGTTATGTTTGTGGAGCCATCAAAGTCAGTGGTAGTATTTCCTGGGCAAGAAACACAATTATTTTTTCCAAATTCAGGTTGATATGTTCCTGCTGGGCAACGAATACATCGGTGAGTGGTGGTGTTGTAGAAATGTCCAGGTGAACATTGAACTGTGGGGTCGGGGGAGGGTGGAGAAAATGAAAAAAAAATTGTGTTTTCATCAACGGTCACATAAAAGTTTTCACAGTTGGTGAAATAAATGTGTATGCCCAAATGAAGTACTGCTTTCCTACTAATCTGGGGCTAATCAACACTTAATTCCCTAAATAGCCAGCTTGGGTGGGACCTGTGACTCACGACACTGAGCAAAATACACAGGGAACAAAGTATGGGTGTATCTTCAAAGAGTTTACAGTCCATGCAGAGTCAGGCATAAATGAGCACAGCCTGAGTTCTCATGCAAAGCACGCTTGTGAGCTGTGAGGGTGCTTAACTGATGCCAGGTCCTGGGAGAGGTGGCAGTGGGTCTCTGGGGAAGGGCAGGACCTATATGGGAGGGGGGCCAGGGGAGGGGGCTGAGAGGGAGGAAGGCTGGAAAGAAGGAGCCAAGAACCTGTTGCATAAAACCTGTTCACCTCTCCCAGACCAGTCAGCCCTGTCTGAAGGGGGCCAGGTGGCTAGGGGAGACCACATCTAGGGAGTTCCCATGCTCCTTGTATATCCTGCAGGAGTGGATGGTGCTGGGACCTGACCTCTCAGCTACTGGGACACCACACAAGGCACCTCTGGGCTGGGCTTGATAGGAGCTTTACCAGACCCCCACGGTTCTCAAAAGGGAAATTCAGCTCTGGAAAAAAGCAAGCTGCCAAGTCCTCACCTCTGGTTTCACAGTCCTGGAAGGAAGTGGCTCCCAGATGTTTGGTAGGGAGGCCTCCTCCACAGGGGAAGCAGGAAGTACGGCCGGCCTCAGGCTGGAATGTGCCCAGGGCACAGAGCTGGCAGGGTGCAAAACCATCTGCAGAATATTCACCGGGTTGGCACAGACCTGGGGAAACCAATGACCCTAAGTGAGCAAGGCCCCCTGGTCAGACCCTTTCCCATCTTTCTGTAGATGAGCTCAGAACTTGGTGAGACCTATTGCCCTATGCTGACCTGAGCTCCCACCTCTGTGAGAGGAGCCCTCTCCTGCCCTGCCACTGACCCTGAGTAGGTGGCATGTGAGTGCTTGATGTTTACACACAGAGCTACAAAGCATTGTGCCAAGATGGAGACCAAGGAGCCAAGTGTTAACTGCTTCCAAAGTTGGGGTGAGGCCTGCATTTGCTTAAGGCTTAGGACTACACAGTGCCCAGATAGCCCCTGCAATGCAGGAGCCCCCAGAGAGGGTTCTCTGCTCTGGAATCAATCCGGTAATCTGTCCCAGAAGTACACTCTTACCCAGCTGCTACATCCTAGTGATATAAAGACTCTCTGGTCATGAAAGAAAGAGTCTCCCTGTTTTATCAATTATATACACTAAGTTACATCTTACACTAGAGTGTGCCCTGGACTCCCCCTACTAAATCCAACCAATCGAATCCACATTGATAGAGGGACCCAGTGGGTCTTTAAGCACCAGAGGGACTTTAAGCACCTTACTTTATTATTTTTTAAGTTTATGGCAAGAAGCACAGCCATAAACCAAAGGATTTCTAAAAGCACATGTTCTTTAGGAATTAGCTTGTCATTGCCAAGGTATTATGAAAATCTGTTGACTCTTGTACTGCTGATCTCTCCCTTATTAATTTTCACAGTCTTCTTTCTACCTATAAGTTCTAGATATAATGACATTTAATGAACACACACCCAGGGGAAGAGTCTGGAATCTGTCAGACCTATGTTCTGATGCCAGATCCTCCACTCTTTGGCTGTGTGACCTTCAGTGAATTACCTGACCCTCATAAAGTTGTTGTAGTGATACAACAAGCAGAGGACTAATTCATGTAATGTACTTTGCCTATGCCTGGCATAGGTAAGTACTCAATAAATGTTAGCAATTATTATTATTATAATTACTACTAACATTATTATTATAAATATATCTTAATAATGTCACATACAAGTATAAATAGATGCTCCAAAGTGCTTCCTTATCAACCCACAGTTGGTCCTAGGATTTCATAACAGGCCAAAGATATGGTAGGAGTCACGCAGTTAGTCTAAGGCTCTGATTTTTAAACCCTTTGAAAGATCCCACAGTTGAGTCTGGAGTCATGTAGGTGGGAACTAAAGCTGACTCTGGGAGTCACTGGGAGGAGAGGCAGGGGCCACCTGCTCTCCACCACAGACATCACCTACAAACTGCCGTGTCAGATCACACCTTCTATGTGAGCCCACAGAGCATCAATACAGCTGGCCACTTAATCAAAAATCAAAAATCAAATTACTTTATTAATAAAATAAATAGGAAATAAGCCCACAAAAATCTAAATCAACCTGGCTCTAGAGTTAACATAAGGGACATGAAAAACTCTTCACAGTTTTAACAAAGTCACCAAATGGTTACTCCTTAAAAATCAATACGGTATGAATTTGAGACCAAAACTGGACAAACAGTGAGAACCACTTTCTCCACTGTAACACTACACACTGGGAGATCATTCAGGTGTCAAGGTATATTTATTTATAGTGAGTAAAGTGTGCATTAGCAACACTTACACCTTCTTTTCTGACAATGCCTTCTATCAACTTTTCATTTATTTGTCCAAGTGAGCATCACCCCAGCATGTGTTGGGCACCAAGGTAGGCACTTGAGCCAAAGATAAACCCAGTGTGGTCCCTGCCCATAGGAAGCCCATGGTGCAGTATGCATTGTCTGCACTGAAACGTTACTTAACACCTTCCATCTAAGCAATATTGGAGACCGGAGGAATAAGAAGGAGCAGATGGAACCCTTACCTCCACATTCAGATATATTCCAAGCTTCTGGAGTCTTCAGGGCTCCTGGATTTTCCGGTCTTGGGCACGGTTCACATGTGATTTGTCCTTCCTCATTTTGGAAGGTTCCATTTGGACATAAAATGCAGCGTTCTTGTGCTCCATCATAATATGTCCCAGCCCTGCAACTGACTAGCCAAAGTGGGAAATGATCTGGTCAGTGAGGGGACAGAGGCCAAGAAAGGAAGAGTGCTAGAGATAACAGTAAACAGATGGCATTGACCCCACACTCCTTCATACAAACCCCTGAATACAGAATGTGTGCCACCTTTGGGTTTTCTGTGCACACCCCTCTGCCATGATCCCTATGGCCCACTGTTAGAGGTGTTTACAGGTTTTCTTTCCCTAGACCATGAACTCCTTGGAAGCAGGGATCACAGTGGTCTTAATTATCTTTGAGCACAAACACTTGATGACTTTTCCTATTTCACAGAGCTGTCAGAAGGATTATAAAGTGAAAATCATTCACTGAACATAGGCCCAGCGCTAAAGGAATAGAAACGAGGGTGCTATTAATTCTGGCTGATGGCATCCCTGAAGGCTTCCTAGAGGCCACATCTGTGTGCGACATTAAAGGATGAATAGGATCTCCCCAGGAAGAAAAGGGGGCAGGTCATAAAAGGTCATGCTTGACATATAGGAAGAGAGGGAAGAAAGGAAGTTTAGGATAGATTTTAAAAATTCTTGAATGCCAGGCATTTGGATTTTATTCTTCAGGTAGAGGAACCATTGAAACATTCACTCTCTGGTGGCTGTGAGGAGGGTGATCTCAAAAGTCTTACCAATAAGCTCTCCAACATAGCACGCTTCATGTTTGTAATCAAATTAATATATTATAAAGAGGAAACCATGGTAAATGTCTCCTGAAAGACTAAACTACAAGGAAATTAATAAACTATGCTTCTGACTTTATTTCTGGTATTATTAGTTATTAAATATAGATTTATATCTTATTTTAGAATATAAATATAAAACAAATATGCTTAATTGGGTTCTTTAATATCATATTCAAACATCATCATAACCATCAAAATAGCCTTTCTAATGGCTAACATTTACTAAGTACTTAATATCTCCTGTTAACCATGCCCAAATCTTTACGTACATTATCTCATATCCCCCAAAACAACCCTATAGGGGTGCCCGGCTGGCTCAGTCAGTAAAGCATGTGACTTTTGATCTCAGGGTCATGAGTTTAAGCTCCACTTTGGGCATGGAGCCTACTTAAAAACAAGCAAACAAACAAAGAAACAAACAAACAAAACCCTTAGGATCTAACAACCCTAAGGAGTTAGGTACTATTTTTAACTACATTTTACAGAAATAGAGACTTAAGGACGTGAAATAATTTGGCCAAGGTCCCACAGATAGTCTGTGAAATACACCTACAGTGAGATTAAGAGTCTTGGATTTAAGGGGAAGAAAGTTCTCTAACAAAAGTGCGGAATCATAATTCAAGCCTTTCCCAAGGATTCTCTATGTGGCATTAGGGGACCTTGACTAGAATAAACATATTCTCTCTCTCTCTCTCTCTCTCTTTTTAAAATTTATTTATTTATTTTGAGGGGTGATGGTGGAAAGAGAGCACAAGGGAGGAGCAGAGAGAGAAAGAAAGAGAGAGAATCCCAAGCAGCCTCTTTGCGGTCAGCACAGAGCCCAATTCAGGGCTCGAAAACACACACCATGAGATCATGACCTGAGCTGAAACCAAGACTCAGACATTTAACCAACTGAGCCACCCAGGCCCCCCTCTCTTTTTTAATGTTGACTTATTTTTGTGAGAGACAGAGGGGAGAGAGAGGGAGAGACAGAGAGTGCACACACAAATGAGCATGAGTGGGAGGAGGTGCAGAGAGAGAGGGAGACAGAGAATCTGAAGCAGACTCCACGCTGTCAGTGCAAAGCCCAGTATGGGGCTTGAACCTATCAACCATGAGATCATGACCTGAGGCGAAGTTGGATGCTCAACCGACTGAGCTACCTAGGCACCTCAACACATTCTCTTTTCTACTGAAGCTGCTAAGAAATAGAAAATAAAATGTCACATGATAAAATTAGCTATCATATCTCTTCAATGTCTGTGAGGAGGAATATCTGTTTTCATGCAATTTGCATTTATACTTTTAGGGTTAAACATGGCAAGGTTCTCTATTACCATTAATAAAAATGTCTTTTCATTATTCACTCCAAAATCTAAAAAAGAAAAAAAAAACCCAAATGAGGTTTTTTCTAAATCATAATAAGCCAAAATATACCATATTTCAAATATTATTTCTACAATTAAATGTCATCAATCAATAAAGTATACTCTAAATTCAAATTTTTAATACTTTTTTATATTGTTTGGATTGTCTTTGATAACATTCATAGTATCATTTTATTTAATTTTATCATATTTTTTTTAAAGTTGAAAGTGAACCGGGGCGCCTGGGTGGTGCAGTCGGTTAAGCGTCCGACTTCAGCCAGGTCACGATCTCGCGGTCCGTGAGTTCGAGCCCCGCGTCAGGCTCTGGGCTGATGGCTCAGAGCCTGGAGCCTGTTTCTGATTCTGTGTCTCCCTCTCTCTCTGCCCCTCCCCCGCTCATGCTCTGTCTCTCTCTATCCCAAAAATAAATAAAAAACGTTGAAAAAAAAAATAAAAAAATAAATAAAGTTGAAAGTGAACCAAGCTCTCTTGCTTTCCTGGCAAATGTTATAATGAGTCTAATGTACAGATATGCGGCTGACAGAGTCTATAATTCCAGACCTAATTCTCGAATAGGAGAACCACTGGATAGAGGCTTCCATAATGACTCTGGTTTCAGTTCATCTCCCATGAAAAGTGGTGCTGGATTATGTACTGGGAATTCCTGACTTCTTATCCTGTGTCCCTCCTGACTGACCTAGGATGGGCCTACAGCAGGCCAGTAAGTGACAGAGTAACTCCTTCATGGCTCTACCAAGTCAACTGTCATGAAGTCTGGCAGAAAGTAAATAAAACCTGGGCTGTCTGTCCGGATTCCCTCCAGCCAAGCTATTTCCATTTCTGTAACATGCATGTGCCTAGAGGGAAAGTACCAGACGGCGGCAATGATTTCAAAGCCTCAAGAATCATAACTTTGAGTCAGATCAGCACAGTCTGTTCCATCATAGTTGCCCTGGAAAACGGATCCCTTCCATGGATGGACAGGAATGGCTCTGGTTCTCACTGGAATGAGTAACTGGATGGGCTCCTGCTGCTCTGGGTTTCCACTCTTCCTTAGTACAATTTAAACCCCCAAAGCCTTTTCAAGATTACATTTTGAGAAGCCTCACAATGTCCCACATCTGTTGCAATTTTCCAACTGAGCAAAGGGCTGAGAAATGGCCCCTTGGGCTGCCCTGCAGAAAAGAGGGCACTGGTTCTTTTTTCTCCCAGTGAAAGGCCTGCTTCACACAAACAAACTCATATTGTCACTCACAGTTTCCATTTTCCTTCCAGAAAGACCTACAGAAATAATTCCTGCCAAGCACCTTCCAAATTAATTTGTTTCTTTCACAAGGGAAAAATGAGCTAAACAGTAAAAAGTGATGCTGAATGTCATGAAGAGATGCCTGAAAACAGCTTTTTGCAAATGTGCTGAAGATCTGGCCTAAAGAGGCCTCAATCACACGTTCCAGTTGGTTCTCTTTTCTCCTCCAGCAGCCAGCTTGTTTTGCTGCCCCAGACAAAGGAGTCAATTGCCCCCAGAACACTTCACGATCACAGCAAAGCTTTTGTGTGTCTTCAGTGACCATTAAAATCCCATTCTCAAATCCCACACAGCTGTTTTCTCCCCCTATTAAAAAAAAAAAATACAAGAAAGCTTTTCTGATGCAAAAAGGAGAGACCAGCAGGGACCAGGATTAATGGCGACAAAGAGACCTGAAGGCTCACCCTCTTTTCAACACTATGGCCTTTGAGTATTTCAGGCTATGGACAAACACTATGGTCTCTCTGTGGTGAAGATGGTGAACCTAATAAAAGAGGTCACTCTCTAGCATCTGACTTGTTTTCTTACGAGGCACGCCTTGACTTCTGAAGGAAAGCCACAAGCTGCCCACGCCGGCCATTCCCAGGGTGTTCTGGAGCTGCTGCTTTGTCACAGCTCAGAGGCTAAGACAATGCTGTGGCCTTGGGATTCTGGTTTGAAGCTCTTTTAAAGGAGCTGTTCAGAATAACAGGAAAGAGCACCCCTTGGGGCTGAGAGGCTGAGCTGTCACACCCATCCAGGTTTCTGGTGTGTGCTCAGGTTTGCTGTTTGAAAACGTTCTTAGAGTTGGGGCAGAGAGATGAGTGCAGCTGACACCTTTCTGGGGGGGTGGAGGGTTCCCCAAGGCATGCTGTGTTCTCTTCCTGCCTAGTTAACTGGGGCTGAGATGTCACTTCCTTCAGAGGGCCTCTTTTGCCCTGGATTTAAATATTTCCCCAAAGATTTGCCCTTTGCCCTCTTTTGTTTTAATGTTGGTGGCTATCCTTGGGATTTCATCTGTTGTCCCTGTGAAAATTCATTACTTCAGTTAAATGCTTAGCGTTAATGATGTGCTAAGCACTGTTCTAAACAGAACTGGAGATATAGCAGAGAAGACAGATAAGGTCCTGCCCTCAAGGGGCTCTCATTCTAGTGGAGAATAGGGACAATAAGTAAGCAAATAAATAAATATATAGTAGAATGCTACCTAGATGTAAGTATGAATGGAGGAAATTGCAACAGGGTAAGAAGGTAGGAGAGTGGTGGAGTGGGGGTTGTATATATGTTGTCTTAAAGAGCATCCAGGCTTTCCTCTCTGAGCAGAGACCAGACTGAAATGAGGGAAATGGCCTTGTGATGGGATTGCCTAATGGAAAAAAAAAAAAAAAAGCCAGTGTAGCAGGAACACAGTGAAAGGGTCAGGGTGATAGAAGAGGAATTCTAAAACGCAAGCAAGGGCCAGATTACATAGGTTCTTGAAGGTCACGGTAAGAAAATTAGACCTTACACAAGGTGTATTGGAGGCCTCGCATAGGGGAGCCACATGATCTGACTTATGTTTTAACAGATCGTATGGCTGCTATGTGGAGAACACACTGAGTCAGGCAAGGGTAGGAAAACGAGTCAGAGCCTGTCACAATAGACTGGGCCCAGGATGATAGT